CTAAAGGAGTTTATCACCATCAAACTAGCATTGCAAGAGATGTTAAAGGGACTTCTTTAAAAAAGAAGGAAAATAAATAAAACATATAAATAAGAAAATATCACAAAGAAAAAAATTCTCACTGACAGCGGCAAACACATAATAAAAGCCGTGGATCAATTAACACTAAAGCTAGTAAAAAGGTTAAAAGGCAAAATGGGACAATCATGTGTAATTATAATCATGTTAAATTAAGGGGTACACAAACACACATGCACAAAAGAAGTAAAACATAATGACAAAAAAATGTGGAGGGGGTAAGTAAAAATGGTAGTGATTATAGACTGCGTTTGAATTAAATCAACCATCAACTTAAAATAGACTGTTGTAAACTATAGCTTGGTATGTATGAATCAGCACATGCTAACCACAAACCAAAAATGTATAAGAGATATACAAGAAATAAAGAGAAAAGAATCCAAACATAACACTATGGTGAGCCAACAACATACAAGAGAAGAGAGCAAGAGAAAAAGAAAGGAACAGAGAACTATAAAACAATCAGAAAATAAAAATGGCAATAACTACATACCTACTAATAATTGAAATGGATAAAATGCTCCAATCAGAAGGTGAATGAATAAAAAAGTGGTACATATATACAATGAAATATTACTCGGCCCTTAAAAAAGGATGAAATCTTACCATTTACAACAACATGGATGGGCCTAGAGGCTATTGTGCTAAGTGAAGTAAGTCAGACAGAGAATGACAAATACCACATGATTTCATTTATATGTGGAATCTAAAAAATAAAATAAATGAACAAGCAAGAAAAAAAGGAAACTCACAGATGCAGAGAACAAACCGATAGTTGCCAGATGGGAGCGGAGTTGGGGGCTGGATGAAAAAGGTGAAGGGATTAAGAAATACAAATTGGCAATTACAGAATAGTCATGGGGATGTAAAGTACAGCTTAGGGAATATAGTCAATAATGTGGTAATAACCATCCATGGTGTCAGGAAGGTGTAAGACTTATTGGGGGAATCACTTTGTAAGTTATATAAATGTCTAACCACTACACTATCCTGTACACTTTAAATTAACCCAATATTGAATGCCAACTGTAATTAAAAACTTTTTAAGTAATTCTTGCCCTTTATATGTTAGGGATATTAAATTGCAGTGCATCATATGTGTAACAAATATGATTTCCTACTTTTTAGTTACTATTGTTCTTATGGAAGTTTTGACATACAGAACTATTTTTTCTAACATCATCAAATAATTAGTCTTTTTACTTTACAGTTTCTATCTTTGATGCTATTCTTAGCAAGACCTTCTTACCTCCAGATTTTAGATATGGCTATCTTATATTTTTATTGTTGTTACAGTTCCATTTTTTTTTTTTACTTAATCCAGCTATGTATTATCTTGACTGAAGATATGTGGTAAGGATCCAACTTTATTTTTGTTAGCTTATCAAATAATTGTCTTAAGACTATGTATTAAATAAGATCCTTTCCATGCTGATTTGCAATATATTCATCACAAACTAAGTATCTTGATGTACTAGGATCTATATCCTGTGGCTTTCAAATCTTAATTTTTGTGGCTTTATAATATAGTTTACTACCTGGGATGCAAGTCTGTTTATGCCTTTTCAGAAAACCTTCATTATTCAGACATTTTTCATGGATGAAATTTAGAATCATTTTTGTAAATTCCATTCATTATTTCCACTGCATCAAAATTATATGCTGCATTGTATCCCTTTCTTTACATCCTGACCAGTTGTTTTAAAATCTGAAAACCAAATGATAAAAATCCAAATCGCGAACACGCACACATTAAAGTGTGGCCAACTTTATTAGTAATTAGGGGAATGTCAATGTAAACCACAATGAAGGACCATGATGCTCTCACTAGATGGCAAAAATCAAAAGATTGGTTAACACCGGGTGTGGATAAGGGGGCTGAGCGAAAGGACTTCTGATACATGGCTGGTCCCAGTGCTAGCTGGTACAAGCACTTTGGTTAGCAGCTTGGCGTTACTAAGTGTATGTGAAGATACGCATCCCGTCCCCAGCAGTTCCCCTTCCAAGAGTGTACCCTAAAGATGTGTGGGCTTACAGGAGTCTCGCAGTACAGCAGTGTGCATGAGAGCGTTGTTCACGATACTCTCCAATAGAAAACAGTCCAAATAGCTCTATCAACAGTGGGGCAAGTAGGTAAACTACAGTATGTTCATGTAGCATTGAATGTGAGCTCAGAGACTGCACGGCAATTTGGATAAATCATATACACGAAATCTTGACGAAGGAAAGTAGGACACCAAAGAAAGCAAGCAGGGTTTAACATACACCCCCACACACACACGTGTTATATATGCAGGGGGGGGGTGACAAAAAATGTATAAATATGACTTGTATTTATCTTTTGTTATTGGTATATATTAACACAGTTTTAATAGTTTTTTTCTTTCTTAAAATATGTATACTTTTTTTTTTTTTTTGGCTGAGCCATCCTGCCACCTGTTGGCAGCTCAGTGGCAGCTCAGCTTGGGCCGGGACTCAACTCAAACCGCTGTTGCTCAGAGCTCAAACTCTTGAGCAAGCTCTTCACTAACTGAGCCACTTGGCCGGCCAGTGCACACTTTTTATTTTTGGCACCCTCTGCATACACACATGCACACACACATATACATATATATGTTATATGTACATACGTATGTATACATATATAACATAGGCAAAACTGAAGTATGGCTTAGAAATGCATAGAGAGGAAATCTATGTGGAAAGGGAATGAAATTACTAACAAATTCAACATGATTGTTACTTTTAGGGTTATGGACAGGACAGTGGTGGCGTCAAGATTCTACTTTGTGACCTGTGTAATAGTCGCCTGGCCATCTGGTTATAACTGCTTGTTAAGTTGTTCTTTTATGTTTCACTTTCTTTTTAAATGTAGCTATAGAAATACTTTAAAAATCAAACAAAATACCAATGGCTTTTTGAAGGAAGCTTAGTTCCTCTCCACCTCTATTGGTACCCTCTCAGGAACAGGGGACCTACTGAAGGGTTTACGAAAACGCCTGCTCTGGTTTTTTAGCTATTTGAAGGCTCAAAGAATTACCTGTCGACTGTGCTTTTTTTTTTTAATTATTATTTTTTACTGTGAAATACACATTTTTTACTGTGTTTTTATGTTGCTATGATGCTTCTTCTTAATGTTCTACCAAAATTCCTCAATGCCTAGCACGCCAGGAGTAGTTGTTGAATGAATGAACACAAATTCAAATGTCTTCATGCTGTAAATAAGAGTATACAGAAAAGAAAAAAAAGGAAGGGACGCTCATATACACTCCAAGTGCAATCCAAGATGACAGAATTCACAGCTTTTATAGAGTAATGTTTATTCTGTGAGCTGTTTCCTTAGTAAGATGGTTTGTTTATCCCTCAACATTCTCTGCAGCTTCTCTAAGTGAGATTTCTGTCACCTGTCACCTGGGGGACTATCTGAGATGGCCCACTGTGAGAGCCTCAGAAGGGAAAGCAGAACCACAGTCCCCTGCATCCAGCCTGTGGGGTGCCAAGGGGTCAGGGCCATTACCTCCCAAATTGCCTGGGGAGCTGTGACTTACAGAAAGGATGCACTGATGCATAAAAGGTGACTCCACTAGAGAATGAGGCGTGCTTAATCCTGCTACAGCAGGCTCTTACAGTCAAGGTCAGTCCTGGGCATTGGGACACCAACATTCTCTAACTGGATGTTGTCCACAGGGTTTTTCTTAGAACTTGAGTGCACTAGACAGGGCAAGCCTGCATGCACAGGCCCCACATTACACCAATTTCCTTTTTCCAGAGCCAGCACCTTCTTACTGGGGACTTGCGGTCAGGTGTATGTAGCTTTTGGCAGGTGAAATTCCCATGATCATAGATGTTTGCCTCTCTAGAAGAGTGCCTCGTGTTTTGAGCACTGTGCTGCGATCTTGACATGCCCTCATTCATTTAATTTCTCACCTCAATGAAGATTGCGCCTTATTATTATGAGTTTGCTGGTGATGATTCTCAAGCTTAGCCTCCCGACTTGTCAGGAGGGTCACAGTAAGTAATGAAGGCAAGTTTTGAACTCAGAGGGCACAGCTCTGGAGCTAATGATTGCAACCATTGCTTGATTGATTCAGCATTGGTCATTCATTCAATAAATGCCTCTTGAGTGACTCTAAATGCTCGGTTAATACCAGACACTAGGAACGTAGTGGTAAGCAAGCAGGTGAGATACCTGCCCTTGCTTCATGTTTCATTCTCCCTACTCCACCCCTCAGGAGTTAGGGATATTCCTGGAAGAGTATATAGACTGTAGAAGGTTCACGTTGTGTCAAAGTGCTTTGAGATTGCATAACTGGGGGTTTCCACGGGCGGTAAAATTGACTGTAGGGGCGCCTTGCATTGGAGTCCATGCAAGCCAACTATGTTGTAGCTGATGTAAGACTTTCTCTTTCCGAGTGCCCACGCCTTCTTCTCTCCTCCCTCACCCCCCAGGAGCAGGCTGCAAATGCTGCCCTTACCTCTTCAGGAGGATAGATGGAGAACCTATCCAGCGCGCCGAATTTTGAGGGCAGCTTCCAACCATGATAGACATTTCAGTCCCTAACGACAAACCTGCCAAATCAAGGCAACAAGTACCATCTTCTCAGTCTCCTTGATTTCAGGGTCAGCCCCACAATTGAGGCCTGATGAGATCTAATTTTTCATAGGTGCATGTTCTAAATGAAAAAAGGAAAGCACATCCTGTGTCTGCCTGCTATGTTGGTTGATGAATGAGGCTCCGGAGAGAGATTAGAAAATTAGAAATGTTAGCCTGCTGTGAGCAACCTAGTAATAGATGAGAAGCGTCTATAAAAGTGTTTCTACCCTTTTACCCTGGTATTTTTGCCTTTGGAGGACCACACTGGAAAAATCAATTTGTTAATGTCTGAGGGAGTAAAACAGCTGTGACTTTTCCATGTTTTCAGCACCTGAGATGTTCAACTCCAGAAGAGAAGCGGGCTACTCCTTTGCCGTTGACTGGTGGTCCCTGGGAGTCACAGCATATGAGCTGCTGAGAGGCCGGGTACAGTAGCCTTGCATTTCTCTTTGGTTACTCTACCAGCAAGTTTCACTTTTAGAGTGAAAAGATGGATTTTAGTTTGCTAAAAATCAAGCAGTTTGCTAAAGAGGTGAAAGAAACTATGCCATGTGATGCTGATAACAGCCCTCGGGATTTCTGCACACACGCACTCATTCACTCTCCTACCAATGGGACCGACCATGTGCGTTCACATTGAATTATGCAGGTAATATTAAATGAATATGGAGATTATAAAATCCCAGAGATGGGAAATCAATACACCTCACTAAATATTTTGTAGAAATATATTTGTTTGTTTAAAGAAAAGCATTTTGCAGTCATGGTACAGGACTCTAATTCAGACACACTTCCCCAAGGCGAGGGTGAATTATTAACACACACAATTCATGTCCTGCCTTGCTAGATACTTGTCTGTCGTTTGGCTCCTGAGTTCTGGGTTCAGAAGCAAGTTAGAGTAGTTTCCTTTTAAAAGAAACATTTCGGAAACTAAGAAAGTGCCTAGGAACAATTTTATTGAGAAAATATTTTTTCTCCCTCCCATAATATTTGACCTCTGTGGTGGTTCCTGTGGTCTATCTGAGGTATCAACATTGTCCAATTTTTTTTTTCTTCAGAAAGGTGAAGAAAAGTTACTGTTAGGTCTCTGAATTGCGTGTGTGTGTGTGTGTGTGTGTGTACATTTAAGTTCTACTCTCTTAGCAAATTTCAATTATATAATACAGTGTTATCAACTTTAGTCACCATGTTTTACATTAAATCAGCAGACCTGATTCATGTTATAGCTGCAACTTTGTGCCTTTTAACTAACCTCTCCCTATTCCCCCCTCCCCCACTCCCACCCTGACCTTGGCAGCATCTTTTCTTCTCTCTGTTTCTATGAGTTTGACTTTTTCTTCTTTTTTTTTTAGATTTCACATATAAGTGATACTATGCAATATTTGCCTTTCTCTGTGTGACTTATTTCACATATAGCATAATGCCTCAAGGTCCATCCATGTTGTCACAAACAGCATGCACATATATATATATATATATATATATATATATATATCTATATCTCCTTACATCTTCTTTATCCATTCATCTGTTGACAGAAACTTAGGTTCTTTCCATGTCTTGAGCTTTCACTTAAAAAAAAATGCTGTTG